TACCATGGATCAGGCGTTGTTACCACCTGTCACTCATACCTCATATGATCTCTCCTCTTTTCAAGAATTATTTAAGAGTTGCTATCGATTTAAATATATCTATGGAAGAAGATCAGCTTTCTCAACATGAACTCACGATCATCCTTCAGCCCAGTACAGCAACAAAGATGGCACTCCCTATTAATCCAGCCATCCTGGAGCCCGTTAAAACACTATGGCAAACACCTGCATCTATCCCCCTGAAAATATTATGTCCTCCCCAGCGGTTCTCAATTCCATTTTTCTCACACACACACACCCAACTCCCTTATAGGGGACGCTGCACAGCAGAGGAAGAAACAGCAAAATCGTTCCACCCCATCTGAAAAGGATAATAAACGCCTGGATATGTTCGGAAAGAAGGTTTATGCCTCAGTCACTTTTCAGATGAGAGTGGCGAACTATGCTGCTTTATTAAGTAAATACGATTTCAATAATTATACAAAATTCAATACTTTTATTGAAGACATCCCTGACAGTAAGAAGGCACAGTTTCAGGCTCTTGTTTCAGAAGGCCAGATAATATCACAGATAGCCCTGCAAGCTGCACTTGATGCAGCAGACACAGCTACAAGGACTACTGCAACGGCAGTCACTATGAGACGAGCCTCATGGTTCAACTCCTGCGCTTTCCTCCGCCAAGTGCAACCATCAGTAGAAGACCTTCCCTTTGATGGAGAAAAACTGTTTTCTGCAAAGACCAATGAACTGCTTCAATCGATGAGAGTCCAGAGCTATATTGCAGTCGCTCGATATCCAAACCCCTATGACAAGACAGAGACAGTTCAGGTACCAACCATATCAGAGACGTAGCTACTCACAATTCACCTACCAGTACCAGAGGCAAGACCAGGCCCCGTACCAACAGAGGGGTCGCAGCAGGCAGCACAGGCGTTGCCCTCAGACTAATAACCCCAACCGTTCATCCCAACCCAGCAAGCAAATTTGAAACAACGGTCGAAAGAAGTAAAACTACACCACATGCTTGAGACTCGTACTAAACCTTTCCTTTTTTGCTTATTACCTTTCCTTTCAAATTGAGTATCTATTACCACTGATAAGTGGGTAACTCAAACTATCTCCCTAGGTTATACCATCACTTTTCTCTCTCCTCCTCGTTCCCAACCTCTCACCCTGTCCCTCTTCAGGGATGAAATCATATTAAAACAAGAAGTTGACCACCTTCTTGAATTAGGAGCCATAGAACCAGTACTGCAAGAGTTCCATGGAACCGGATTCTACTCACATTCTTTTCTTGTAGAAAAGAAGACAGGTGTTTGGAGACCGATCCTTGATCTTCAGTTACTAAATAAATGCATAAGGAAACAAAAATTCAAAATGGTCACTCTAAATACTATTATCCCAGCTCTGGAGCCTGGTGACTGGTTTTCTTCTCTCGTCCTGCAGGACGCATATTTTCATGTATCCATTGGTCCTGCTCATAGACGTTTTCTCCGTTTTACTTTAGGTCTCCAACATTACCAGTACATGGTACTCCCCTTTGGACTCTGCACTGCACCAAGGGTATTCAAGAAGATGCTAGCAGCTGTCGCTGCTCACCTCAGAAAGCAAAGAATCACGATTTACCCATACTTAGACAATTGCCTTATCAAAGTGAGGACCAGTCAAGATATAAACAAAATGATTACACTACCACGCCCAGTGAAAGCATCCCTACACTGGTGGACAAAATCATGCAACCTGTGCATAGGCATTCCCTTCCAAACCCTGGAACCCTCGGTAGTTGTCACTACAGACGCATCACTTACGGTTTGGGGTGCCCATACAGAAGGCCGCACAGCACGCAGCCTATGGTCTCCAACTGACTGCATGCTCCACATCAATGCCCTTGAACTCAGGGCAGTTCACCTGGCATGCCAAAAACTGTTACCCAATGTCATGAGGATACATGTAAAAATATATACAGACAACACCACGTGCATATTCTATATAAACAGGCAAAGCGGTGCCCGATCACACACACTATTCCTGGAAGCTATAGCACTTTGGAATTGGTGTCTATCCCGAGACATTCTCATATCCGATTGCCGTCTTCCTGGGGCCCTCAGTTCACCGGCAGATGCCCTCAGAAGAGCTCTGCCACAAGAGCACGAATGGGAACTCAACTATACACTCCTCAGCGACATAGTCAACCGATGGGGTTTCCCAGATATAGATCTATTTGCCACTTCAATAAAGAAAAAATGCCAAAGTTATTGCTCCAGGGCGGGCATGGGGAAATTATAACCTGGAATGCACTCCTACATTACGCTTTTCCCCCGTTTCTTCTCCTCAACAGAGTCCTCGTAAAGATTCTGAACGACAAAGCCAAAGTTATCCTCATTGCACCCTGCTGGCCCCGATAGCCATGGTTTCCCCTTCTACTCAGGCTAGCAATACATCAACCAATCACACTTCCAAACGATCCCATTCTTTATCAGCCAGGGATCATGTATGCTCACCCACAGTTTCGCACACTCCATCTCAAGGCGTGGTACCTAGATGGTTCACAGGCATAGAACTGCAGTGCTCTCAACAAGTACGTGATGTCCTCTTACAGAGCAGAGCACCTGCAACAAGAAAAACATACATGAGCAAATGGACTCGATTTGTTCTCTGGGCAACCTCTCGTAACATACGACCTCAAAATGCTCCACTTCCTGATATACTGGAATATGCTACACCTCAATCACATCTCTCCCTCAGTTCAGTCAGGGTCCACCTAGCAGCCATTGCAACCTTTCACACAACAGTGGAAGACACCACAGTCTTCGCACACCTAGTAACTAAGCGATTTTTGAAAGGTCTTCAGGCTCTATACCCAGAGGTATCAGCCCCTCAAGAGCCTTGGGACTTACACTAGTTGTGTCATTTAAATAGCGCCTTCCATTCTCAGAAGAGGATTAGTAAGTGATAGAAGAGAACTATTTAACATGCAGGAAATGTAATGCACACGTGTGAGTTATCAATCATTCTAGGCAGATGGTAAATGTATCTCCTTTCACCACAAATTGAGCAGCAAACATTCAGATTCATCACCAAGACAACATATTTAAATTCTCTTCTATTTTCAGTTCAGACATGCTCAACAAATTGCAAAGTAATGAAAATCAATATTTTTGCCCAAATAGTCAAGAAGGTGCTGGAAAGTCTGCCTCTTTGTAGTACAGGCATGTTCTAGGCATTTGAATTGTATAAAGTTAAGACACATTAAGTCGCGGTTTTACACTTATGTAGGTCAGAATGTTCTTTGCGACTAAAAATCATCTGAGTTTTCACCTTCAAGCTAATAGTAACTAAGGCCATGGCAGCAACTAGCAAAATATATGCCAATTTGCTCTCCCTGTGCGTTAAGCAGGAAGTTGCATGTCAGAAACAGAACAGAAAAAGCCTTGTAGGACACATTTCAAGAGGCTCCTCTTCCTTTTTTGTTACAATTTTCAAGTGCAGTAAGTTAAAGTTTAGTAGCCTTAAACCCACCCCCTCCAAAAAACCCAACATGCATAACAACCCCCTCCCCCCCAAACAGGTTTAACGTTTATACCTACAAATAAGGCAGACATACACGAGGCGTGTTTAGCTTAAGCTACAGCTAAAAACAAGACTGGTAATGCTCTTGTATAGATTACAGGTTGAACCTTTCTACTCTGGCACCCTTGGAACCTGACCGGTGCCAAACCTGAGAATTTGCCAAACCTCAGGAGGTCAATATTGTCTAGCAGCATCACCAACACTTTCACTGTTGACTGGGCTCTTCGAAGACATTGAGGGGTAAATTAGAGCTAAATAACAGCCCAGAACACTGACAGCCAGGACTGGAGGCTGTAAACAAACTTTATGGGGCTGTGGGAAACAGCTGGATGTCCACTTACCATGTAGCCAACTAACATCATGCCAGACCACGGATGTTGCTGGACCACGCGGCCCCTGATAGATTGCTGAGAGAAAAATCCATCGGGAAGCGCTGAGGCACTCAACACCTCATGTGGAGCACCCCCAGGGACACTCATCTCGAAGAACATCAGTTACAGGAAGGTGAGTAACCTCCTTTTTCTTACGTTTAATTTGCTTATTATTAACCTTCCCCTTTGCGCACACAATCCTTTCTAAAGTGCCTTCTTGTCCCCATTCTTCCATGTTCAAACAAATTTACTGTTTATTATAAGTCAAGCTTTGTATTTCAAAATGTCTGTGAAGATATATAACCTATTATACAGTTTAGAAAGTTTGTGCATCTGTCTGTCCGTTTGCCTGTGAATCGTTTGTTCAAGAACGCCTCCTAAACAGTAAGAGCTAGGACCACCAAATTTGGTAGGCAGCTTCCTCTTACGATAAATAAAGCAAGGTCAGGGTTTGGTTGTGCCAAGACAGTGGGATGCACCTAGACTGTGATTCTTACCAAAAGGAAAGGGAATTGTGTGATTTCAGGAGCAGTTATGAATGACTGGGGGGGGGAAGCAAACATGGGGAACAGATAAACTCACAAATGACCAGAGGGTTACAGCAAGCATCCCAGCTTTGGAGAGCAGCCCCATGCTGCCCTTGGGCTGCCCCCAGGAAGCAACCACTGATTGAGCTTGTGTGGCCCCCTGCACCACTCCCTTGGTTCGGCCCCTGGGAGAAGCCTGCAGGCAATCTGTGTAGCCCTGCTACCCCAGGCCAGACCCGGCCCTGGGCAATGCCAGATACATCTTGTAGTGTATCCATATATGAAAAGCTGTTCTCTTCTGAATGCCTTTGAGTGGAAATGGTTGCTGGATTTTCACCTTCAACTGATCTCTCTGACATTCTGGCCTCCTTTCATTATATTCTCTACATCCTGTAGTGTTTTTGTATTTTTAGAAATCTTTTTCATGAAGATAAATGAAGTTGTATCAGGGTATGTTATGACTAACACAGAAATGTGTCTTAATGACTGTGTAAGTCAGGATGACGTTTTCCCCTCTCAGTTAATTTCAAATAAAGAACTAACACATGGATTCTTTTCCAATAGAAACCCCAATTCTGGAGCAGAAAGCAGAAGAATGAGGCAGAGGCTTTTGCTCATTACCGCCAAACACATACAGCAAATGAACGCCGACGTCGCAATGAAATGAGAGATCTTTTTGAAAAGCTAAAAAGAGCACTAGGACTGCATAGCCTCCCCAAGGTCTCCAAGTGCTACATCCTAAAACAAGTAGGTATTTTACAGCTCAAATCATATGGAGAAAAATTCCTTTAATGTGGGGCAAACTGGCATCAGGTCTGAAAAACATTGTAATGATATGAGAAATATTTTAGATGTGAGTGCAGAAATGCTTTTCTCCTCTATGCAATCGTTTCACAATAAAGTAATTTGAGGAGAAATGAATTCACTCCAGAGATAAACTTTAGGGTTTAATGGGATGCGCTCCCCTATCTTCCACTGCTTCTTTGCGAATTTAACGCTCGAAAGTAATTTACTTGGCAATTTTAAATTGGACAGCGAGGCAGTCTGAATATACAATGAAGACAGATCTCCCTAAGGTAAGAAAATAAAATTCTTTGTGAAATATTTTATTTCAACATAGGATATAGATAGAAAACTGTAAATGAAAGGAAACAAGCAGCACGTAATCAAAGCCATAAATAATTACGTTTATCTGTATATTACATTCCTAGGGTTTTGCCAATTACCTGTTAGACATAGGTTTATGGAAAATAGATTCTGTCAAATTAGATATCTTTTTGATGAGGTTACAAGTTTGATCAGTAAAGGTAAAAGTGTTGATGTAATATACGTAGATCTTCTGCAATGCATTTGATTTGGTATTACATGACAGTTTGAAAAAATTAGATGTCAAATTAACATGGCACACATTAAATGAATTAAAAGATGGCTAACTGATAGGACTTAAAATGTAATTGTAAGTAGGGACTTATCATCAAATCATTGTTTCTAGTGGGGTTCTGCAGGGATTGGTTCTTGACATTTTTATTAAAGACCTGGAAGAAAACAAAATAATCAGTGATGAAGATTGCAGGTAAGAAAAAAATTGGAGCAGTGGTAAATAATGAAAAGGACATGCCACTGAGACACTGTGATACGGATTGCTTGGCAAACTGGATGCAAGCAAACAATATGCAGTTTGATATGGTTAAATGTAAATGTATACGTCTAGTAGCAAAGAATTCAGGCTGTACTTAGGGGATGGAGAACTCTATTCTGGGGAGTAGTGACTGAAAACATTTTAGAAGTGGTGGATAATCTCTGAACATGAGTTTCCAGTGTGACACTGTGGCCAAAAGAGCTTGGATACATAAACAGAAAATCTGAAGTAGGATAGTGAAGTTATTTTATCTCTGTATTTAGCATAGGTGAAAGTGCAACTGGAGTATTGTCCAATTCTGGTGTCCACAGTTCTAGAAGGATGCTGATAAATTGGATGGGATTCAGAGAGGAACCATGGAAATGATTAAAGTCAAAATGGTTAGAAAAGGTGCTTTATAATGGTAGACTGAAGAAGATTAATCTATTTAGTTTAATAAAGAAAAGGTTAAGTGGGGAATTGAGTACTGTATAGTCTTAAAATGCCTGCATAATTCTTAGTCTTGGAGAGAAAAGGGTAATATGATCCAATGATTGGAAAGTTAAATAAGACAATCACACTGGAAAAACAATATAACTTTCTAAGAGGGATGTTAAGAAGAGGGTGGTTTGCTAATGGTGTAGTCAGTAGAATTTTTATCGACTACACAATTAGTCGATAAGGGAAGGCCGCTAAAGGGCTCAGTCCTGGGTCGCACTGGGTCTGGGACCTAACCCCACTGCGACTCTGCATTTAAAAAGTAGGAGCTCGTCTGCCTTGCCCACCTACCTCCTATTAAATTTTAAATGCAGAGATGCAACATAGTTTGGTCCTGGACTGGTGTGAGTTGGGACTGAGCCGGGCTGCCTGCTCGCCTGGCTCCTGCTATGTTTTAAATGCAGAGAGACACTGTGGTTTGGCCCCAGACCTGTGCAAGCCAGGACTGAGCTGGGCTATCTGGTTACCTGGCTTGTGGTATGTTTTAAATGCAGAGC